AGAGCGGTTAATAAAGAGCCAGGTGAGGCACTCTCATCATGGGACCCAATCCTGTTACAGGTGGTGGTGTTGTGTGTTTTGTTTGTTTGTTTTTAATTAGTCTTGGGATATTTTAGAGAAGATGAAATTCTGCTTCTCTGTGTCTGTTTCTTTTTTTTTTCTGTTGCGCGTGTGCTATTAAGCCCTGCTTATCATGTACACTTGCTTTCTCTTTATACTGAGAAAAGTGAACTTTGAAGAATGAGTGGTGTCATTGCCATAGGTTATTAAAGAGAGGAGGTTCTTTGCGGCAGTATTCTTTACTGGTTGTCACCCTTCAGTTTTACGTCTTCCATAATTTTGCCCGTTCCTCCCTATCTCACTGTGTATTGTTTAAATCAGAAAATCCACTTTGCATTTTTCAGTAGCACAACTGATACTAAATACTTTGGTGTGTTTTGAGACGTACTTTTTTTCTAAAGTTACATGTGAAATAATTTTTAAGGAGCGTGATATGGACAGAAAGAAGATTGAGGAACTCATGGAGGAAAATATGACTCTAGAAATGGCTCAGAAACAGAGTATGGATGAATCATTGCATCTTGGATGGGAACTTGAACAGATGAACAGAACTACTGAACTTTCTGAAGGTAAACATAGTAATACTTGCAAAACAATAGAAAAATTGAAGAAAGTCAGACCATGTGTATTTGAATAGTATTACACAGTCTATTTTTTCGGGGTGGAATGTTTGCTTACATAGTTATCTCTAGACTTTTAAATATGAAAGGGAAAGCTTCTTCAGCAGAGCTGCCATGAATTATACTACTTGCGAATTTATTTTAGTTTTATTTAAAAATGAGAGTTAAATTGTTTTTTTAAAAAAGTAACATTACAATGTGTTTAAATAATATTTAATCTTAAATAAAAATAAAACAACTAAATACTTCCCCCCCCCCCCCCCGCTCCGCCCTGAACTACTGTTGGATAGTCAAACTGCTATTTTCCTTGAAGTCTGGTGAGTAAAATAGCTGTCTGTTCATGGCTGTCCTCTCATTGGTTTTTTTGCCTGTTACCACTCACCAGAAGTCAGTGTTATGCACTGTGGGGGTATTCTAGTGAGCAAATATCTTTTAGGACCAGTTGCTTTCTTTCTGTCCCTCGTACTTTCTTTATCTTCTGCCAGATTCTGTATCTAAAGATGAGGCAGCAAATATCTTCAGAGTTCAGTAAGGACTACAGCTAAAAATGCCTGCAGAGGTCTCCATGCTTTTCTGTTTCAGTTAGTAGGTGTTGCAAAACGTAAAGGAAGTGTTCTGGCAGTGGCTTGACAGATTTTTTTGAGGAAAACATTATCATCTCATTGTTACAGTGTCTGTTCCACAGGTTGGCTGTAACTCAGTTAAATCTGTGTGCCACCAAAGAAGTTTCCCTATTCTATTGTAGATTCTTTTAAAATTTCATCTAGGGATAAGTAAGGCATGGTGGTTCCCGCCCCCCTTTTTTTTTGTTTAACCTTCTGAAGCAGAAAAAGTTGCAAAGGTGGGGGCAGTCTTCTCACCTCCCAGCTCAAGAAACCTTCCTAGATGTCAGGGCAAAGCCCGAACAATAATCGGAAAATGCAACTCCTGATTTCCTAAGTTACAGTATCTTCTGCCATCTGATTGGAGAGATATGACAGTTCTTGGGGTTTTTTCCTCTCTCTCTCTCCTTCCCCTCCTTCCCCCCCCCCCCCCCCCGGTCCTATGTACCCTCTCAGATACATCCTATATGAAAAGTCTCTTGTGATTCACTTAAACGCAGGTGTAATATCTTGGAGTTATATTGTGTTGCTATTCAAGCTTCTATACTCTGTAACACAGATCCTGACTCTTCACTTCAACGTTCTTAAAGTTACAGAAGATTTAGTAAGGCTTCTCAGAAATTGTTGCCAAGACAGTCATGGCAAAAATTTTGAGTTCTCCAATGTAGTACTTCTGATTTTACAGTGGATCCCATAAAAAGGATTCATTTGAAGCTTTTCCTCAGTTGCAGGAAACAAATCTTGTCATGGTTTGGAATGGAAGGATGGGTGGGGCACTTCCTTTTAAGTTTTTGTAGTGTTTTTTGTTGGGTAAGGGAGGTGGGTCATTAACCTTAAGAAACTATATTCATGAGGAACGCCCTGGAGGATCATCATAGGCTTCTGAATACCCTAAGTGTAAAAGTGCAAAGTCTGTCTCTCTAAGAATTCCAGCTAATGATAAATAACTTTATTTTTATTGATGGTGTTTTTCTTTTAATCCTACAGTGCCACAGAAGTCACTTGGTCATGAAGTAAGTGAACTGGCATCAAGCAGGTTACTGAAGCTGGAAATGGAAAACCAAAGTTTACTGAAGACAGTGGAAGAACTACAAAATGCAGTAGGTTCTGTGGAAGGCAGTAGTTCAAGGATACTGAAAATGGAGAAAGAAAACCAAAGACTTAGCAGAAAGGTAGTCATCATTATAAGTTAGGGTCTATGTGGTGTTATACTGTTTAAGTTGGAGGCTAAAAAAAAAAAAAAGCAGCTTATTTGTGCAGGCTTTTTTTTAATTACACTTTTTATTGATTATGAATGTGACTTTTTATTCAGAAAGGTCTTACACCTACAAGGGAAAAAAATCAATGTGTTGATATTGGAGACATGATGAATAATGAAAGTGCTTTATAGTACTTTGGAAAATTATTTGTTGGTCTTGTTTATTTGTTTTTATTAATTGAACGTGTGTGGAGAGACCAGCCAGTCTTCAGCTAAGCAAAAAAATTTGGTCATGTGTCCTTCTTCATGGAGTTTTTATGCATTGTAAAAACTGAGAAAGAAAGAAGTGGGATGTGCCAAGTGACTGTGAAACAAGGGACTGAGAGGAACTAATAGGATTTATCCAAACTGATCTACAATATTTTACTCTCCAAATTATATTTGTCATATTGGAGTAGTTTATTCAATGATTATCATCACAGAATAGAAATAGAAAAAAAATAGAGACTAATTAGAATGAAGTGAAATATCTAAAGCTTGTGGAATATCTGCTGAAGGAAAAGCTGTGTCAGACAGTCGAGATTAACCTTGAAGAGAGCAGAGTAGGTAAGAGGTAGTGGAGGGGAATGAATTTAAGGGAATCTCTTCTGTCTTCCATATTTTTATGCTTTTTCTAATTTCTTAAAAATATGGTAGTTTTTTCGGCAGGCTGTGTGCTGCATTGAGCTTGTGTACAGTACTGAAAATACAACTGGGGGGGAAGAAAGGAAGCTAGGAGAAAAATACAGCAGTAGAGATGCTTATTCAGGGATCAGCCAGCAAGAAAATAGCATCCAGACCGACTGTGTTTTGTCTTGCTTTGTATAACCTGTCATTCCCTCTTTTACTGTGGTTACATGAACAGACTTCCCAGGAAAATCTCAGATACCAACATTAAACACTGTCCAGTTTTATTCATCTTGAAAAAGGCCCTTTTTCAGAGAACCGCTACTGATGCAAGATGCTCTAAAGCAGATAGAAGACCATTGATTATCCTTTGTGATAGGATCTCTGTGTAACCAGGCTACTCCTTCCGCTTAGTCAGAGCTATTTGGATCCCACGTGCTCTTGACATTTTACAGCCCTGTTACCTTGATGATCTTGCACCATCTCTGCATACTAAACAGATCTGAACTCCGTTATCCTCAGGGCCTAGATGTCAGATAGCCGTTACTGGCATAAATTTGCTCCTCTCTAGTTAGAGAACTCTATTAGACTGACCTACCTACCAAATAGCTACTATTCTAGCATGGCTTGACACGAAATCCCTAGATCTCTCCAGTAAGAAACTTGTCTCTACTGTCTTGGACTGTCATAGTTACCTTTCTGTGCTAAGTCAAACTACTGCTAGACATAGGGCCTCGTCACGTTGTTGGATGGCCGGTTGATGGTAATCAAGAAGTTCCTTCTAGTGAAAGAACCAGTTCCTCGGTAGGTCCTCAGTGTTGTGTGAAAAGAATATTCTGAATAGCGATCAGTTATGCAAAATAGAAAATAGAACAAAGTATTAATAACAGATCCTCCGTACATAGTGTTTTATCTGCCATGTTTTCTTTTAAAGTATACTGTAAATTCCTCTTTTAGAGTTAATCTAGAGCCTTACAAATGCAAGGTAGAGACAGTGGCCCCAAGATCACTACTCCTAGTGCCCAGTTGGCAGACAGACGTACTAAGACAGTTGGGCAGTCCACTGAGAAATTTGGATACCAGGTAGAGTGTGATTGCATCCCTGCTGAGGTGGTTGAACAGGTTACTTCTCCTTTGCAAAAATCAGTGAAAATTCCAGTATACCCCATAAAAACGAACATTCCTCTGTTAGATAAGAGAGCAGGAATATGTTAATGTCAGAGTGAAAGGCAAGCAGAAGGCCAATGAAATATTAGTATTCTCATCCAAAGAGGAAATCTTTAACTCAGGTTTTGGGCTAACTGGTGTTGTGCTTTTTGGATGTTTCCAATCAGCAAATTGCTTCATGGAAGAACAAATTCCTTTGTAGTTATCTTTTTGTGATTTTTATTTCTCAGTATTATTTCACAGCAAGTATGCGTATAACTCGGAAAATTTGTTTACAGAAATATTTACCCTGCCTGGGGTCAGATTTATGTCCGAACTCCTGTAGGACTCGGGAACGTGGACCATGGACTTGACGTAGAATATAAACTTTACAGCAGATTATTCTTTAAAAATACATATGTACATTGTTTCTAAGTTACTAATTATAACTTAAGTGTCATTTTTCTGTCGCATCTATTTTCACTCATAAACTGTTTGCTGTCCGGTTCCATTACCAACATTACCAGAGTTTCAGAACCACAAATCTATGTATTTCCCAAGGAATCCTCATACATGTTTATTGAACTACGTTAAATAAAATCAAACAACATTCAACTCTTATAAGTTAAGAGAGATTTGGAAGAGCAGGGTAAACCTCACTAAAAATGGATTATTTTTTTCTAAACTATGCTTGGAAATATCCAGAGTGTAATAAAATCTGACCAATTTTATATGCAAAAGGAGATTTTACATGTATTCTTCTGAACTTGTAGAGCAAACGTTGGCAGAGGTGAATTTATCCCTTGAAGAGGTGAACTGTTTCAGGTACAGAGTAGAAAGGTCCATTTTATTCTTTTCTTTAGTTTGCTTTGTTAATTTTTATGAAAGTACTTCAAACCCATGTAAGAGTAATACTATCGTCATTGTTACGTAGGTTTTAAAATTTCTGTTTATTTATTTCTTCTTCCGTAGCTTGAAGGGCTAGAGAATGAAATTAGCCAGGAGAAACAAAGTCTTCAGAATAGTCAAAATTTGAGTAAAGATCTAATGAAAGAGAAAGCACAACTTGAAAAGACACTTGAAGCAGTACGAGAAAACTCAGAGCGGCAAGTGAGTAGCAAAATCAAAAGTCTAATTCTGTGTTGTACTGTTCTGCTATTGTACTTCTGCATACCTGGAGCAAAGTGGCTTGTCTAAGACCTGCAGCCAGTGAGTCATGACTCATTTTTAGCTATGGCTTTAGTGTTAGTTTTAGGCCTTTCTGGTATCTTCTTATGCTTTGTTTTTTTCCTTAGGCGTCTTAGGCTTTCATGGGCCATGCATTAGTTACAGTTGCTTAGAGGGTGTCATTCAGCCAAAACAGTAAAGATGAGGTAGGCCACACACCTCTCAATGGGGAAAACAGAGGTTCCAGAGACCTGGTGAATTTTTGAAGTAGCGTTTGAGTTTCACTGAGAATTACAGCAGTCTGTCTCTCAAAGGGACCGAGTGAACAGCAATGTAGCGGAGCTCTGCTCTGCTGCTGACCCTGCCTCCTGTGTCACCTACCTTCTTGAGCATTTGGGGCAGGAGGCATCACAGCTGTCTTCGTAACAATCTCCTGTATTAGGATAATTTCCTTATGTGGCTTGCAGGTAGATAGAATTTCTTTTTGGACACCAGAAACTGGCATCTGGATCTTGGTAGAAGCTTTGGGCTGTATCTGAGGGGAGGGTATCTGTGTCTAATCAGTGCAGACACCTTCTACAGGTCTTTGCAGAGCAATTCAGAGGACCTGTGGAAGGGCAGTCAGTAGGAAACAAGAGTTAGGATTACTAAAGATGCTATTTCCGGAAGTTTCCAGGTCCTTCGGAATTAGGATTGTATTTATCTGTTATAAATTATATTGATATTTCTTGATGAGATTTCACATTTTTTGATTTTAAATTTTAAAAGTGCACTGTTTTGAAATACAAAATATTATATTTTTAAAATCCTAAAAATTTGCAAAGGCCTTACTTAATGAGAAAATCAAATTCCAGACTTATAAAATAAGAAGAATTATGCTTGGCATTGAAGTAGATGATCGAATAAGCTATAAAATTTTATTTTCATTTAAAGAGAATAGTGGGATAATTTTAAAGAAAACATGCCTGTTTGTTTTGTTTAGAGGTGTTCATTGTTACAATAATTCAGTTGTACACTGTATTAGGAAAAGAGTGTGTTCTAGGGGAAAAATGGGTCTAAAACTTTTTGGAAGAAGTCGTAAGTCCCAGTTCAACCGCCGAGGATATGTGTATTGTTTTAAACACTGGAGTAGCAGCGGCATTTCTGTGGGACCATTTATGCTTATAAGATACGTTTTTGGAGTTGTCCTTGCTTAGCAGCATCTTTCATGTCTTAAAAATTTTATGCTGGAACTATTTGGAGGGAATTGTATAGAGCGTATCTAATTTTGTCAAAAATTGCAGAGGTATGTGATCATGCTTTTTTTGGAGGCTCTCTTGAAACAACATATACTAACAATTTTTAATTGAAAAATTAGTACAGATTTGACGTATTTGTTCCCAAAATGTGATGGACTGTGATCAGAATTCCCTTGTATCCCAAATATCAATTCTGTGCCTCTAAAATAAAGATATTTTCACATCCTCCCCCCCCCCCCCCCCAAACTTCTTTCTCAAGTTTGGTGTAGAACTTGACCTGGGTAAAAGCAACTGAAAATGAGGTGAAGCTAACAAAGGGATAGAGCTTTGTTTCGTTTTGGATTTCTTTTTAGTTTTATTTTTGTGTCCTCTTAACCAAGAGGAGGGTATTTGAAGGTAATACTCTGCTCTGTGGTTTTATTATCAAACAGTCATCTGATTACACACACAGTATTTGTAATGCTACAAGCAAATATCGGTAGAGTAAGAAAGAGAATTTTTTTTAAACTTAAAGCGAAGGGGATGTATGATGTAATCTTTTTATTATCTTATAGCTTTCAGTTTATGTATGGAAATAATTATTTCTTGGCATTGTACCTAACCATAGCTTACAATTTTTTCCCCCAAATTAGATTAGGCTGTTAGAACAAGAAAATGAACATTTGAATCAAACTGTAGCGTCTCTAAGACAACGCTCACAAATCAGTGCTGAAGCAAGAGTGAAAGAAATTGAAAAAGAAAATAAAATTCTTCATGAGTCTATTAAGGAGACCAGTAGTAAGTTAAATAAGCTTGAATTTGAAAAAAAACAAGTCAGGAAAGAACTGGAACACTATAAAGAGAAAGGGGAAAGAGCGGAAGAACTCGAGAATGAGTTGCATCATCTGGAGAAAGAGAACGAATTATTACAGAAAAAAATTACCAACCTAAAAATTACTTGTGAGAAGATAGAGGCCTTAGAACAAGAAAACTCGGATCTAGAAATGGAAAACAGAAAGCTGAAAAAAACTTTGGATAGCCTGAAAAATCTCACATTTCAGTTAGAATCCTTAGAAAAGGAGAATTCACAACTTGATGAAGAAAATTTAGAATTAAGAAGAACAATTGAATCTTTGAAGTGTACAAGCATTAAGGTGGCGCAGTTGCAACTAGAAAATAAGGAACTGGAAGGTGAGAAGGAGCAGCTGAAAAAAAGCCTTGAACTCATGAAAGCCTCATTTAAGAAAACTGAACGTTTAGAAGTCAGCTACCAAGGTCTAGACACAGAAAACCAAAGGCTACAGAAAGCCCTAGAAAACAGTAACAAGAAGATTCAGCAGTTAGAAAGTGAATTACAAGATTTAGAGTCTGAAAATCAGACTTTGCAAAAGAACTTAGAAGAACTGAAAATCTCCAGTAAGCGTCTAGAACAATTGGAAAAGGAAAATAAGTTGTTAGAACAAGAGACTTCCCAGCTGGAGAAAGATAAGAAACAGCTAGAAAAAGAAAATAAAAGGCTTCGACAGCAAGCAGAAATTAAAGATAGTACTTTAGAAGAAAACAATATAAAAATCAGTAATCTGGAAAAGGAAAATAAGTCTCTGTTTAAAGAAATAGTCGTATACAAAGAGTCATGCATACGCCTGAAAGAACTAGAAAAGGAAAATAAAGAACTTGTGAAAAGAGCTACCATTGATAAGAAAACTCTTATCACCTTAAGAGAGGTAAATAGAAATTAGTTACCGTTTTTATCTTGATTTGTTTGTAATATGGAGATGTAAATGATAACTGTATTTTTGAAAAAACTTGTATTTTTATGCTTTAATTAATATGTATACTATTAGCATCTTTAATGGTTACACTAGGGAAGGAGTTGTACAATAATCAGAATTTACATAATCATAATAAGTAGAGTAATATCAAGATATTATGTTTAAATCCGTAAGGTTGCTTATAGACTGTCGTGGAGTTCAGGTAATATTTTTGTTAAATGAATGACGCACAGATTCTTTATATTAGCGTTTGTTTTGAATTCAACTTTGTCCCTTGATCCTAATGTTTAAGACCAGATATGAAAGGGAAGTTCTGCAGGAAAAAAGGAAGTAAGCAACTGTGATGACATTGTGCATATAATTAGAGTGTAATATCTAATATAACTGAAAGCTAGCAGTTGCAAGTAAGGGAGAGTTAACATCAGTGGACTATTCAAGATGTATGTAGTCATAGAAGACATGCCTAGGCACTTACAGAACTGAGACTGCATTATTTTCTTTGTGTTATAACACTGACTGTATTTTTTTTGTGTGTGTAAGGACTTAGTGAATGAGAAATTGAAGGCCCAACAAATGAACAATGATTTAGAAAAACTTGCCCATGAACTTGAAAAAATAGGCTTAAATAAAGAGCGTCTCTTGCATGATGAGCAGAGCAGTGATGACAGGTGAGAACATCAAGGACATTCCTGCATGGAACAGTGTAGAAATGGGGGTCTTTTTTATTCATAAAGTTAAAATGATTTTACAGACTTTTTTGTATGTACTCTTAAGTTTTTCAGAGACATTGATAGATCTGAAATGGTACTTGCTACTCTTTGCAGTTAATAGGGTAATAATACTTTCTTCTGTTCAGTTGTCTGTGAAAGTGAGTTCCTGCTTTTGTTGCTGAGAAATTTCTTGAAGTATGCCGATGGTTGCTCTTATATATGATTAAAATGTTTAACATTTTAGTTAGCAGTAGGAACAATAGCAGCAAAAGATAATAGGCCCAAAGTGGCTTTTTTTGGGTCCTTTTTAGCTGCTTGACTGATAGAAATTGTTTGTTTGGGGTTTTTTTTTTCCCCATGCTTTTGTCCTGTGAAGGGTAGCTCAGACTCTCTCAGGCTTCCTTACAGTTATTTCCTTCTAATTTCTCCTACCTAAAAGAAACTCTGCTTGCATTCCCAGTTAAGCAGGCTGGGGTTAGCCAATACTCCAGCTTCTCTGAAGCTTCATACTGGCTCCATCACACTACTACACCTGCTAATATAAAGCAGCTGCTACCTGACATCTGTTTCACCTACTATATGTTGTGTCTTATCCTGCAGGGATTTAGAGAAAATATGTGCTAGGAAAAGCGGACTAGTATGAGCCACTAGCCAGTCTTTCTCTCGTGATGCTATTCAGTTGTGCTTTTTTTTTTTTTTTTTTTGCTGGCATCATGATCTGTTATGAACACTGATTGTCATGAACACGTAGAATGATTTTGGGCCTCCTATATCAAAAGGAAACCAGATGACATCTTTTTCTTCAGCTTTCCTTTCTTGCTGCCAGTGTTCTGCTACGGGGGTGGTACCAGAACCCTATATGGAGAATCTGTTGCCACCTCTTGTTTTCTGCTTTCATCTACCTTTCCCAGCTCACAGATGAGTTCCTCTTCTGTCAAGAGGTGTTCTCAGAACTCTGACTTCTGTGATTTCTTCTGAGTTAAGGGTAGTCGTGTAGCATACAGTGTTTAGCATGAGTTTGTGTTGTCCTTTGGTTGATATACCATATAAAGAAGAACTAATCCTTGAGCTGGAAGAGTTGAAGCTTACACTGCTTAGATTAAGAAGTCCTGGTTGAGCAACATAGTTCTAAATAGTGTTCTAGATTTCTAATATTTGGGTGAGTGTCCCTGCAAAAGAGTGTCATTTCTAAAAGCATATTTGCAAAATAATATTTTTCTATGTGAAAAGGTTTGAGAATCTGCTTCTGCTTTCCGGACAATGGTACTTCTGCTTTAGAAGTGCTCGTACGTCACTGTAGATTCAGATGTTACAGGTTCATATCTCATAGGTTAGCTGGTTTGGGCCATTATATTAATTATGTCCTTGAGTCAAATAATACTAGTGTTTCCCTTGCATTTTACAGAATCTTCTTATTGGATCTGTAAATTTTAATTCAGATAAAAATTTGGAGTTACGTGTCTGTGTGGAATTGAGAGGTTTATCCAGGTTTCATTTAATTTTTTTTATCTGTAAATTAATTTTCAACATACTTCTGGCACCGGTTATGACCTGTTTCATTTCTTTCTTTGCTTCCAGATTAGCCAAATGTGGATATTACTCACAAGTGCTTTTCAGCCCTCCCTACCCCCCATGCTTTTCTGGTTGATATTCCTTTTTCAAGGAGTCAGTGCAGACACTTTGTTGTGTATTCGTTGCGTATTTGGAGCACAGCCCAGGGAACAGGCTAAAGCATTTGTATACCAGTTGACCTGTGCTTGGCACATGTCTACTGCTGGCCTAAAATGACTGGTAATTGGGTGCTGCTCAGCTGCATTGTTGTAAGAACAGCTCTGGCTCAATTCTCTACGGATGGCCTTTGCAGCAGGAGATAATGCCTTTCTGGAACAGAGGGCATGGCAAACTTGACTGTCTAGCCCTGACTGTGGGAAAGCACCTGAAAAGTAGATGGAATATTTGGTGGTATGAGATATTTGGGTTTCAGGCTGGGTGTGATGTGTCTGTTCAAGGTGATCCTCGGGGAGGTGCGCAGTAGGGTTTATATCTTGAAGCTTACCAGAATCTTATCTAAAGCCTACCTCTTAGCTCAGGCTTGTGACCAGGTAGTTTAGGATGTGAAGGAATTTGGGCTACACTGCTGCTCCGAGCTTCTTCTCAAAACCGAATGTAGACCTGTCTTTAACTGCTACGTGTTGAACTGGAGGATTGTGAACGGGAAATATTTGTTTTCAAAGTGAAAAGGTTGGTTTACTTGAAATTAGGTGCTCTGTAACTCTCCTGCCTTTCCATTATTCTCAACTTCTTCATTCATCCCAAAAGTTATCTAGGTTGCTCTCTTTATATTATTATCTAGCTTAGGCATTAGTGATCATCTGATCAGGCCTTTAGAAAGTTAGGTTCATTATGGCCAAAATTACTTTTCAGTGTTTTTTTGGTCTGCCTCTCATTTTTGGTGACAGAAATTTAAGTTACGCGACTTTTCTCTCCCTGATTGGCGAGAGCTTGTGTTTTTGTTGAGCATTCTTGGTAGCATTTAAATCTTTCTCCTGGGACCTAAACTGACCACGTTTTATGTGGTAGCCTTGAAGTGTTTTCCATTTTGTGTTGTGCCTTTAAAGTGGATTTACGGAATTGGGTGCCCCAATCTGAAATACCCAGATCTCAGTCAGGTTAGTAACTTGTAGTATCCTTCATTATTAGGTATTTGAAAGGAAACTGGAGATTGGGTCTCTGCTATTCGTCTTTTCCCTTCTTTGTTTGGTACATAGCTGTATAGCTTTCAGTGACAGAACTTACTTGCAGCTGAATATGTGCTTCAGCTCGAGAAGATAAAATGCCATATGTTCTATTTGTTATCGACTGCCTGTTGGTTCTTAAGTCTCTAACTTTTTATCATACAGCAGGATTCTCATCCCTCTATGTGATGTTCTTGAACAGCTTTTTACTATTAATTCCTCTGCTATTGGTCTTCTGCTCCAATTCCTGACTAGATCTAACGCTGTTGTCCGTTCGGGAATCTCCTGCTCCGTGTTCTGGTCACAAAATTGACGGATTCTTCAGTAGTCAGATTTGAAAGGGAGTATTTATGATTTATTCTATTGTATCCTACTTCTGGGAAAGTGGAATGTTTTCCAAGTTCTGAACACATGCGCAGTGACTGAACTGTTGAAAAATGATTAATGAATGTTATTTTCAGTCTTTCCTAGAAAGACTAATAAATCACTGAATATCCTTGCAGTGACAGTTTCAGGAGATACTGTTCTAAACCAGTATACGCTAAATCTGACCACTTATCTCTAAAATAAGTGGTTTCAGTTTTTTGGGTACTCTGTAGTTTCGTAAATATGGTGAAATCTGGAAGCTTTCCAAAACAGGAGTGCTGACGGTCTTAAAATATCAGCAGCTGGGCTGAGTGAGCAATTCACGCATTTATACATCAAATGAGTATGCACCTGGGCAGTACTGTATTCCGTCTTCCCTAGTGCCTCCTCTTTGTGAGCAGGCAGGAAATGGAAACTGATGAAGATCTTGCTCTCCAAATACTTCACATTCTAATTTAGTTCAGATCCCTGCTTGACTCACTGGAGTGGATCCAGAAGGAAGAGTGCTGTCAGCACACACACACACACACACGCGCGCGTGCCTGCGTGCAGACCCAGCACCCTCCCCACTGTCCCTCCAGCCAGCGCTCTACTTGGTGTATTAGTCTTGATGTAGCAGATAATGTGGCTTTTTGTATCTCCAGCATATTTTGTTTATTTAGACTTGATTGTTGCATTAATATCATAACAGTTAAAAATTAATGCTTCTGGTCCAAATGTAAACTAATGTCTTTACTTGCCTTTCCATCTGAAATTGCTAAGATTTCATAATACTAAAGTGCCTTCATACTTTTGAATAATAGTTAACATTGAGGCATTTTTGGAATAACTAGAGAGGGCTAAATGGCTACTGTTTTTATAGCAAAAGGCTGACAGCCTAAACAAATTAACGCAGTTTTCAGAGAACGTTTCAGAACGTTTTAGAATTTAAATAGCTAAAACAGTTTTTAAAATACAAACATTTATTTCTGTGTGTGTCTTCATTAATCAGTAGGTACAAGCTTTTGGAATCAAAATTAGAATCTACGCTTAAGAAGTCTCTCGAAATAAAAGAAGAAAAGATTGCTGCTTTGGAAGCCCGTTTAGAAGAATCAACCAATTTAAACCAGCAGCTCCGTCAGGAACTTAAAACAGTAAGGAGAAAGTTGTCTGTTGGTGGGGTGGTTCCCCCCCCTCCCCCCCATAAGGTTAAATTATCCATATACCACCTATTGTTATTTCTACACTTCGCTCGACATCTGGTGTAATTCAGAGGAGAAAACGGGCATTGTTGGGGGAAAAATGACTGAAGAGCTCTAAGGACAACGTCTGTGGAGTGAAAGAGGGAGGGAAGACCCAAAGGCACTCCACAGAGAGATGTGTACAAGTCAGGGAGGGGCATAGCTCAGAAGGTGCTTGGCACACAGTATGCAGACAGAGTCTGAAGAGCAAGGAGAGGGGAGGACCCCTTAGCTTTCTGCAGTGTAAAGCAGGGCAAGGGTGTGACTCCTTTTTAAGATAATAATAATACAGGGCTGATGTTACAATCACATAAAACATTGAGTTGTTGGTCATAGACTATTTCAGGTAGATAAATAATTTGTTTGAAGTTGATTTGATTTGGAATGCCAAAAACACTTATGTCTCAGTAAACTGTTTTTTCTGATCTAGCTTGAACGCCTGGGGGAGATTAGTTAAAAAAGTAAATGTAACATTCTTGTTTGTTGTACTTCATTATAAAAGTTGGGGGATGCAGTTGGAAGCACTGAAGTAAAATACAAAATGGAGGTCTCCTTCTGTTGTGTTTGTCGTTCAGGTTTTGAATCATATCTGTCGAAGTGTTTACTGTGGTTAAGCTGTCAGTACCTATATGCTGTTTGTATGTCATCTCTCCAAATTATTAAATAAATAAATAAATAAATAAAATAACATATTTCACTTTTCACAGAACGGAAGTGTTATGTTCGTGTAATAAAATGAGATGTAAAAAATGAAAGATTCCAAACCTAATATAAGTTGTCCTGAATAATTTCAGGTGAAAAAGAACTACGAAGCCCTCAAGCAAAGACAGGAAGAGGAAAGGATGGTTCAAAATTCTCCTCCAAGAAGTGGAGAAGAAAATCAGTCTGTCAATAAATGGGAGAAAGAAAATCAGGAAACTACAAGAGAATTATTGAAAGTTAAAGATAGATTAATCGAAGTAGAAAGGAATGTAAGATGTGTTTTAAACATTGCTCTGACTTGAATTATTTGCTGTGAGCTGTTGTAGAACAACTTACGAGAGTATTGCTAAGAAAGTACGCAATTTATCGCCTAGTTTATGGACTGAGCAGAAAATGAATTAAATACAACTTATGAAGGAGCTGGATTCCGCAGCAGCAGAAGCCATAAAACTCTTGGCCAGCATTTAAA